AGCTTGCCCCCTCCTGCCTAGGAGCCCACCTGCGGCGGCTGCCATTCCCACCCGCAAACCACCCCCCCATAAAGATCATCTCTCCCCTCGTTGTAAGCACAGCGAATGAGAGCGCTTGGGGGCGCATGGGAGCGCGCGGGGTCGCTGAGAGCGCTTGGGGGCGCCTGCGACGCCTAAGCGCCCCTGGGGGCGCGTGGGAAGGCCTGGGAGCGCTTGGGAGCGCCTGGGGCACTTGGGAGCGCGTCTGGGAACGCATGGGAGCACGCGGGAGCGCCTGGGAGCGCCTGCAAGGGATGGCAAGCGTTTACAACACGCATGCTCAAGAAATACTCTGTTTTTGCAAGGGATGGCGACGGCTTACAGCACGCATGATCAGGATATAATATATTTGCATAGGATTGCGGGGGGTGAGCGCGAATAATGATCAGGAAATCGTATCTGTTGCAAGGGATGGCGAGGTTTGACAGCACGCATGATCAGGATATAGAATTTTGCGCATGGGATGGAGGGGGGGTGAGCGCGAAGCATGATCGGGATATTGTATTTTTTCATAGGATGGAGGGGGGTGAGCGCGGAGAACGATCAGGACATAATATTTTTGCAAGGAACGGTGAGGTCCAGGAGTTCGGATGAGGCCAGGACGCGTGGGGGTCCTGTCTGCGTGCATGATCAGGAAATAATATCTGTTGCAAGGGATGGTGCTGGTCCGCATGCGGCTCATGGCATTTGTGGTGTAAAGCGCAATGGGTTCTGCACGCATGATCAGGAAATAATATTCTGTTGCAAGGGATGGTGCCGGGTAGTACGCGGCTCGTCGCATTTGTGGTGTGAATCGCAATGGATTCTGCACGCATGATCAGCAAATAGAATGTGTTGCAAGAGATGGTGCTGGGTCGTATGCGGCGCGTGGCATTTGTAGTGCAAATCGAAATGGATTCTGCACGCATGATCCGGACATAATAATTTTTGCAAGGGATATGCCCTGGCTCGCATGCGACTCGTAGTAAACCGGGTTTACGGGCTTTAAGGTTTAATACTTATGGGGGTTAAGAATCAACAAGGAAGTCATATCGCAACCAACTGAACTCGATGTCACACTGCCGTGGTGCTAATACCCACGCACCCTGCATTCCCATTGCATATGCAGGTTCACATATCGCGCGAAGCTTCCCATCGACGCAGCAGCCTGGGCATGCCTGGGCCAAGCTGCCCCAGGCTGCCCAGGCTTGCCCAGGGCTGGTCAGGCCGGCACGGGCTGCCCAAGCTGCCCCAAACTGACCCAGGCGAGCCAGGCGGGCGAGGCTGGCCCAGGCTGGCCGGGCTGGCCCAGGCTGCCCAAGCGGCCAACACCTTTTGGGGCTGACCAAGCTGGTCAAGATTCTCCAAGCTGCCCCAGGCTGGCCGCGCGCCGCCCTCGAGCGGGCGCCACGCGGGCAGGGAGCGCCCCGCGCCGTACGTGTCGTGTGCGGTCGCGAAGGGCGCGGACTAGCCACGCGGGTGGGACGTGCCCCGCGCCGCATTTCTAATGGGAATCGCGAAGGGCAAGGAGTTCGCCACCTTCGGCCGCGCGCGCGGGATGAGGCCCGCGCCACATGTTCTACGGCGGCTCGTGCGAGTTTAGGAATGAGCTTCGCGTGGCGATTTGCGCCGCGCCACATTCTTAATGAAGGACCGCGAAGGGCAAAGAGTTCGCCCCCTTCGGCCGCGCGCGCGGGACGCGGCCCGCGCCCAATTTTCAACGCAGGAACGCGCGGGTTTAGGGGTGAGTTTCGCACGGCGACGCGCGCCACGCCACATTTTTGATGGGGGATGGCGGGGCAGATGCCGCGCGCCCCGAGGCGCGCGCGCGCCGACTGCCATTATTTGCTTGGGAAAGTGGACGGCGGGAGCTGCGGGTAACTTTCCAGAGAGCTTCGGTTTGCCATTCAAATGAATATTCGATGAAGGTTGTTTAGGGTCTACAAGCTCTGCCGCGGCTGATCCCCTCCTGCCTAGGAGCCCACCTGCGGCGGCTGCCAGTTCCACTTGTAAACCACCCAAATAAGGGCGCCTGGGAGCGCCTGGGAGCGCCTGACAACGCTTGGGAGCGCCTGGGAGCGCCTGGGAGCATTGGGGGCTTCGGAAGCGCCTGGGAGCGCCTGGGGCGCCTTTGAGAGCGCTTGGGAACGCCTGGGAGCGCTTGCGGGCGTCTGGAAGCGCATGGGAGTGCTTGGGAGCGTTTGCGACGGCCTGGAAATATGAAAAATTGAGAGCGGCAGGGTGCACTTGGGAGAGCCTGAGAACGCTCGAGTGCGCCTGGGAGCGTCTGGGAGCGCCTGGGAGCGCCTGCGGGCACCTGGGAGCGCCTGGGGGCACCTGGGAGCGCCTGGGAGCACCGAGGAATGCCTGGGAGCGCTTTCGAGCGCCTGGAACGCTCGACGGCGCCTGCGAGCGCCTGGGAGCGTTCGGATGCGCCGGAGCGCCTGGGAGCGCCGGGAACGCATGGGAGCGCCTGGGAGCACTTGGGGGCGCTTGGGAAAGCCTGCTGGGGACGCATGGGAGCGCCTGGGAACAAGTAAGAGCGCTTGGGGGAGCCTGGGAACGCCTGGGAGCCCTTGGGAGCGTCGGGGGGCGCCTGAAAGCGCCTGCGAGCGCTTCGGAGCGCCTGCGAGCGCCTGAGTGCTCTTGGGAGCGCCTCGGAGCGCCCGGAGCGCTTCGGCGCGCCTGGGAACGCACGAGAGCGCTTGGGGGCACTTGAACCTGAAAGCGCCTCGGCATGCTTGGGCGCGCCTGGGAGCACTTGGGAGCGCCTGGGAGCGCCTGGGAGCACCTGGGAGCGCCTGGGAGCGCCTGGGGGCGCCTGGGAACGCTTGGGAGCTTCGGAAGCGCCTGGGGGCGCTTGGAACGCTTGGGCCCCCTTGGGAGCGCTTGGGAACGCCTGCGGGCGCTTGCAAACGTTTGGAAGCGCATGGGAGCGCTTGGAAGCGTTTGCAAGCGCCTGGGAGCGCTTGGAAGAGCTTGAAAGCGCCCGAACGCACTTGGGAGAGCCTGAGAGCGCTTGGGTGCGCTTTGGACGCTTGCGGGCGCATGGGAGCGCCTGGGGGCGCCTGGGTGCGCTTGCGAACGCCTGGGCGCCCGTGGGAACGCCAGGGAACGCCTGGGAGCACCTGGAAGCGTTTGGGAGCGCCTGGGAGCGCCTGGGAGCGCTTGGGAACGCTCGGGAGCGGCTGGGGGCGAATGGAGCGCCTGGGAGCGCTTGCGAGAGCTTGGGAACGCATGATGGCGCCTGGGACCTCCAGGGAGCACCTGGGAACGCTTGGGAGCGCCTGGGAGCGCCAGGGAGCGCTTGGGGGCACTTGGGACCGCGTGGGAACGCCTGGGAGCGCGTGGGGACGCCTGGGAGCGCTTGGGAGCGCCTGGGAGCGCCTGGGAACGCCTGGGAGCGCCTGGGAGCGCTTGGGAGCGCATGACACGCCTGGGAGCACTGGGAACGCTTGGGAACGCCTGGAACGCCTGGAAGCGCCTGGGAGCGCTTGGGAGCACTTAGGAGCGCTTGGAAACGCCTGGAGCGCTTGGGAGCGCCTCGGAGCTTTGCGAGCGCCTGAAACATCATAGAATCCGTAATATGTATAAACACAAGAGTCTGCGACAGCGGCGCACTTGATAAGAAAAGTCTCATAGGTGTAGAAAAGGCATGGTCAGGAATAATTATATCTTGCAAGGGATAGCAAGGGTTTACGTCCGCGGACGCGCATTTGTCGTGTAAATCGGAATGGATTCTGCACGCATGATCAGGACATTCTTTGTTTTGCAAGGGATGTCGCCGGTTTAAACGCCGGGGCGTACGTAAGGTATGTAGCCTGTTTTCCAGGACTCAGGGTTTAAAAACTTTCTGATTAATATTTAAGGTCTGCAAGCTCTGCCGCAGCTGATCCCCTCCTGCCTAGGAGCCCACCTGCGGTGGCTGCCAGTCCCACCCGCGAACCACACTACCATAAAGATCATCTCTCCCCTCGTTGTAAGTACAACGGATGGGGGCGCCTGGGAGCGCATGGGAGCGCCTGGGAGCGCTGGGGGGCGCCTGGGAGCGCCTGGAAGCGCCTGGGAACGCTTGGGAGCGCTTGGGAACGCCTGGGAGCGCCTGGGAGCGCCTGGAGCGCGTGGGAGCGCCTGGAGCGCATGGGAACGCCTAAAACATCATAGCAGTCAGATTGTAAAACACAAGATTCTGCAACAGCGGCGCATTGGGTAAGGAGAATATCATAGGTGTATGAACGCATAAACAGATATACAACTTTTGCAAAGGATGGCGAATGTTTACGTCCGCGGACGCGAATTTGTATTGTGAGTCGCAACGAATTATGCACGCACGATGAGGAAATTGTATTTTTGCAAGGGATGGCGAGGGTTTACGTCCGCGGACGCGCACTTGCATGGTAAATCGCAATGGATTGCGCACGCAGGATCAGGAAAGAATCTGTCTTACAAGGGATGGCGCCGGTTTACATGCCAGGTCGTATGTTATCGTATGTTACCGTATGTACCCGTTTTTTCGGTGTTCAGGGCTTAGTAATTATAGGATTAAGAATTTAGTGATTTGTCATCTTCTTCTCCTCCTCCCCGCCTCCTCCCCCCCCACACAAGCCCGCGCGCAGCTCGCAGGTTGCAGCTCGCAGGGGAGCGCGAGCGCGCGCGATGGAGCACCCAGGGCGACGACGACGACGACGACGACGACGACGACGACGACTACGACGACGGCGACAACGACGATGGCTGGCCACGCATCAAGCTTTAGGCGCTGCCCCGCGCAGTCTGACGGCGCGCAGCGCCGGCAGGCCGCCGCGCCGGGCCGGCCTTCCAAGACGGCAGGGAGCTTCTGAGAAGGGCCTGGCGACCCCAAACGTAGTCATTTGGCAATGATGCTCAGAATGCAGAGCGGTTGCCAAGTGCCCTGTTTGGGAAGGCCGTCCCAACATGTCGCGACTGCGCAGCTGAAGGATGCCGCACGTCCAAACGGCCACGGCTCCTTGACCTCCTCGCTGTCGCCCACCCCGGCCAGCGAGGCGAACTCCTTGGCGCGACGACCCCCACGCGCCGCCGTTGAGAAGATTCCCGTCAACATCCCCGAAGTCATGTTCCTCGTCCTCAGTATCCTCCTTCTCCTCCTCCTGTCCTCCTTTTCTTCCCCCTCCTCCCCTTCCCCCTCCTCCTCTTCTTCCTCCTCTTCTTCCTCCTCCTCCTCCTCCTTCTCCTCCTCCTCCTTCTCCTAAACCTCTTGAACCTCGTCTTCCTCCACCTCCTCCTCCTCCAACTCCTCCGATTTGCGCCGAATGCAAGTTGCGGACTTGGCGGACCCGCCGGCCGCACGTAAGTGGGCTACCGTGAGCTCTCTCTCTCTCTCTCTGGTTTCTCTCTTTCTCTTTCTCTCTCTCTCTTTTTCTCCATCTTTCTTCTTGGCAACACAAAGGCTGTACACCACTGGCTGAATCAACTCTCGGAGGGCGACTACGCCTTCGCGGCTTTTCACCGCAACTTGCGCCTCCTCCTCATCGTCATCCCCCCCAACCCCGCTCCTCTTCAAGCTCCTCCTCCATCCTCTAATTTCTTATCCAGCCTTTTAGGGCGTGAGTGGTTTAGCGCGTTTCTTCTTTCACCCCCGTGCATCCCCTACGGGGACGGGTGCGCCCCTCTCCCTACCACCTCCCCCATGGCCCTGGATGGGGGTGTTGGCGAGGCATTAATAGGGAGCCCACAAAGGACGTACGCGCCCAGCTATGTACATGAGCGCGGCCCCTCGATTTGCGAGACCGGCCGCGTGATACGAACTTTCCGGCAATGCGTACTCTCGAAACCAGCGTGGATTCATGTACGTGTGCGTCCTTCTTTCGCTCCTGAATTAAAGCATCCAAGACGGCCTCGTCGAGAAGACAAACACCATTGATTGTATTTCGGTGTTGGGCCCGTGTTTGCCTCCTGGGTGGGATTGAAAATTTACGATCCTCCCCAAAGGGCCCCAGGCGCTCCCAAGGGCGCCCCAAGACGGGCCCCAAGAGGCGCCGAGGAGGCCCCGAAAGGCCCCCGAGATTCCCCCTAGAGGCACCCAAGAAACCCCTTTTTAAGAGGCCCCACTTTGCCCCCGAGAGGCACCCAAGACACCCCAACAGGCCCCGTGGACTACCAAGAAGTTCCCAAGACGCCCCAAGAGGTCTCGAAGGAGCTCCCAAACGACATCCGAAGAGACTCCGAGAGGCATCCCAGAGGCCTCTTACCTTCTTGCTCGCCCTCCTCCTCCTCCTCCTCCTCCACCTTTTTCTTTTCTTATTCCTCCTCCTCCTCCTCGTCCTCCTCCTCCTCTTCTTCGTCCTCCTATTCCTCCTCCTTCCTCCTCCCTCCTCCCCTCCTCTCTCCTTACTTATCGTCCTCCTGATCCTCCTCCTGATCCTCCTCCTCCTCCTCCTCCTCCTCCTCCTCCTCCCCCTCCTCCTCCGACTCCTCATCCATCCTCCCCCTCTCGGGGTACGACGTGTTGCCCAGCCCTCTATTCCACTACATGCTCCTCTACATCCCTGATCAGGCAACTCGTCTGGGCATTGTTTCTGGATGGGCTAGTGGGTTTTTGTTCGCGAGCGCGCAGGGATGCCAGGCGCCGTCAAGAAACGCGGCTAACAAACAGCGGCCTAAATTCCGCACGAGAGCAGACAGGAGCGTGCTACGCGGCGGCTCAAGAGACGCGGTGGACCAGGCGGAAACACTGGTCGAGGTGCAGCACCAAAATGGCGAAACTCATGAAGTCCACGTACTCGAGGACGACGAACGGGCGTGCAGGCGTTCGACGGAAGAGCCCCCCAGGACCACCAGGAGAGGGAGCGTGCCAGCGGCGGAAGCGCCACCACGGCGGTGAGCAGGACTGGAAGGGGCTAGCAGGCCAGCCTCAGGGGCGCCCAGGATGGCCGCGGAGAGAGGACACCTGCAGCCCAGCGTCCAGGGTCGGGGGTGGGTCCTTGCGACCTCATCCGCCAAGCTGGGGCGGCGGGGGGAAACCGTGAGAGGCCGACGCAGTGCGGGGGGGCCCCATGTGCAGAGCCTATCTACAAAAAGCGAAGGGACTCACCGAGGACGTTGGCCTGAGCGCGACGGGCCGTAGGGGTTTCCCTGCGGCCTCGCGCGCCGGAGCCGTCCCACCGAGCACCGACTGCGACGATCCCGACCGTCGTCGTCACCCAGGGGGGGGCCGGCGGCAGCGGAGTCGTGCTGGTAGTTAGTTGCGTGCATGGTCCGCGGCGGATGCGACGGCGAGCAGCCGCGGCGAGGCGCGGCGCGACGGCGAGGGAAGCGGCACGCGCAGCGCCAGCCGCGGCCGCGGCGCCCCGGCGCGGGCGGCACGGCGGAGCCCACCGCGACGGAGGTACCGGCAGCGCGGCGCCAAGCCGCGCGCGGCAGAGGAGCCACCGCGGCAGCGGCAGACGACGCGGCGGGCGAGCGCCGGCGGTGCAGGCGGGGGCCGCGGCATCGAGGACGCCAGCGGCAACGGGGGCCGCGAAGGGCCCAAAGCCACACCGATAGCGGAGCGCGGCGGCTGGGCCGGCGCCGTGTGTAGCGACACGGCGGTGAGATCCCCCAGGCGCCTCGGCGCTGGGGAGACGGCGGAGGGGGCCGGGGGACCCCGGTGCAGCGCCTAGGGCCTAGGGCGGGTGCATTGGGGGGGCGGCCCAGTGCCAGGGGGCGCGGGGCCGCAAGCAGCCCGTAGCGGGGGCGAGCTGGGCGGCCAGAGGAGAACCGGCTGCGCCCCCCGCTGGGTGCTCGCCGGGCGGCATTGGGCGCGAAGCCAGGGCGTCCAACAGGGCGGCCGGCGGCGGCGTGGGGGGAGACGAGTGAGTGAAAACGACAAGCGGACGCAGTGTTTGGTAGAGAAAGGAAAGCACGGAGGACAGCGGCGGCGCTCGCGACGAACGGTCGCAAGATGTGGGTTGCAGGAACTGCGGCGGGCGACGAGAGGTCAGCGTTTCGGGCCGGGGGGGGTGCCCGTCGGCCTCTCTCGCTGGGACGGGGCCAGGGCGGCAGTGCCCGCCAAGAAGCCGATGGGAGCAGACACGGCGGTGAGACGCACCGGACGCCCGGAGGTCTCGCAGCGAAGTCGTGGGCGATGCCGTCAGAGCACCCGTAGGCCATAGGCGCAGCAATGGGGGCAGGTGTGGGGGCGACCGTAGGCGACGGTGTCCGAGAGCCGTGGGGGCTGCCGTTGGTGCAGCAGCCGGTGCGGCCGTCGGCGACGCCGTGGCGAAGCCGCCGGCGCTGCTGTCGGCGAGGCTGTGGGCGCCGCCGTAGGAGCACCGTTGGTGACGCTGTCGGTGAAGCTGCGTGTGAGGCCGCAGGTGTAGCACTAAGGGCAGCTGTCGGTGCGGCGGCGGGGGCTGCAGTTGGCGCTGTTGCAGGAGCAGCGGTCGGCCCGGTCGTCGAGGGCGCAGTAGTCGCAGCCGGTGGGTCTGCCGCGGTTGCTGCTGTGGGTGCTGCCGATGTGGCAGCCGTTGGTTCAGCTGCCGGTGAAGCAGTGCAAGTAGGTGGCGGTGAGGTCGTCGGTGACGGCGTAGGTGAAGCCGTCGGCGCTGCAGCAATGTCGTAGGCAATGCCGTCCGGGCAGTCGTTGGTGCAGCTGTCGGTGGAGCTGAGGAGGCAGGTGCCGCGGGGCCGTCGAGTATTGAAAGGCCCTGTCGTATCTGTCAGCGTCGTGCCACTGCTCACCGTGGTCTGACCTGACGGTTCAGCTCGACTGTGTCGCACTCGAAATCGAACTGCTCGACGTTGCGCTGCCAGCCTGACCACGCTCACCCTGTGGCTCAATGTCGTCGTGGAGCTTACCGTGGAAGTGGCCGTGGACGTCGCACTGCACGAGACCGTACTGATCGTGACCGTGCTGCCCGAGGTCGCTCTACTGGTCGTCAGAGTCGTACTGCTAGCCAGCGATGCACTGGAGGCCAAGCTGCAGACGATGCAGTTGTGCTGCTGGCTGCACTCGAGCTAGCCGTCGTGCTGCTGGTGCCAGTCGTACTAGCCGCCGAAGAACGCGTCTCGGCCAACGTGGAATTGATGACCCTGTCGTACCCGTCAGCGTCGTGCCGCTGCTCGCCGTAATGCTGGCCGGCGTGGTGCTGCACAACTGTGTCACACTCGGAATCTTACTGCTTGACGTTGCGCTGGTCGGCTCGACCACGCTCACGCTGCTGCTCATGTCGTCGTGGAGCTCACCGTGGAAATGGCCGTGGACGCCGCACTGCTCGAGGCCGTACTGATCGTGACCATGCTCGAGGTCGCACTGCTGTTCGCCTGAGACGTACTGGGGCAACGGTGCACTGAAGTCCAGGTGGTGGACGATTCAGTCGTGCTGCTGGTCACGCTCGAACTAGCCGTCGTGCTGCTGGCGCCGTTCGTACTAGCCGTCAAGTACGCGAAGCGTCTAGAAGAATTCACGGTCACCCCCTGACATGTCGGTGAAGCGGGCCAGGCGTTTCGCCGAAAAACTTGTCACCACTTCTGAATATGAAATTTTGCACTTTAAAACACCTGCAAGGATGAAAGAGTGGCTTTCAAACTAGAGTGCTCGCCATATCGCAGCACGCGTGGCAACCATTGCAACACTTACATGGGTGGAGGACGGGCCGCATGCAGAATGGGGTTCTGGCCACAGAGGTGCGCGCTGTCGTCTCACCAGCGCTCATGAGGGCGACTCCGTTCAGATGGGTTTCGCACCTGACGGACAGAATGTTGAACTGTACCGCCATGACCATCTTTGCACATCCCGTGCGGCCCGATAATGGCGTTCAAAGCAACACGTGTTTCAAAGTGGATAGTGCCGCCTTACAGCCAAAAGCGTTGGTCTGACAAGTACCAGCATGGCGAACAACTGGACGTGGGCTATTCGCTGTTCTGTCAAAACGGGGCGCTCGTCCTAGCTCCACACAGAACAGATTCACGGATGGAGAGCTGGTCGTTTTCAAAGCAGGGTCATCGCCTGCACGCCGCGCACATCCGCATTACACCGTGGCGACCGCGCCCAAAATGGAGGCGCGCCGCTCTAAGCATTGAGATCCGCCTACTCGTGTCAACCGTTCACATGGGTTGCATGGATGGGGAGCGGCTGCCCTCCCAAAGTGGGAGTTTCCGCTGGGCCCGGGCCAAAAAATCATGAACCGGTGCAACAGCTGAAGAACGGAAGACGCCCCCCCTTCGAAGATGGGGTTCTCGCGTTCTCCTCGGCACGTGTGAGCCAAGCATGTGAACCGGTACAACCAGTACACGGACGGAGCACCGTGTTAAATCACAAGGGATACTCCAGATTTCGTAATAAAGGGAGGGGGGTCTCATTTCGGGGGGGGTCTCTTCCAGGCTATCTTGGAGGGCCTGGGGGGGTCTGAGGACGATGTTTTGGAAGGTTCTCCCACGGGGGGGGTCTGAAATGGCTTGTCTTGGAGGGTCCAGACCCCCTCCCTTTTATTACGAAATCTGGTGCACACGGACGGAGCACCGTGTTAAATCACAAGGCATAGGTGGACGCCGTGGAAAGCTATGGCCATGCCCCCCCGCATGCCGTGCGAGCGGTTGATGTGTTTCGAAGCGGCGCCGCCGCCTGCACAGCAGGCCCCCTGGGGCGAGGGTAACTCAAGAGGGAACGCTTCTTGCACGGAGCAAGAAACTGCTGGGAGCTGTGGGCAGGGGACTTTTGGGACGGGAAGGGGGGGTTGCAGCATCCTTGGTGCACCTTGGGTCTCCTGTCGTCCTCCTCCTTCGTGTCCTGCGCCCGCTGCTGCTCCTCCTCCCCCTCCTCCTCCTCCTCCTCCTCCTCCTCCTGCTCCTCCTCCTCCTCATCCTCCTCCTCCTCCGCGGGGGGGTTGAGCGTGCCACAGCCGTGGACTCGAAAGGCAAGCCGTTGCGGCGAGTCCCAACGCGCTCCTTCTGTGCCGCTGGGCGCCACACTTCGGCGCCGTCCTGGCGGCGGTGGCCATGGTTTCGACCGGATCGCCTCCATTAGGTGGCGGACGGCTCTGGCAGGTCGACAAGACTTCGCGTTTGTGGGCGTCGAGCGGGGAAGCGTTGACTTTTTAGCTTGCCGCGGCAAATGTCGACACACGAGACCGTCGCCACCAGCTCCTCCTGGACACCCACGGCAGCGTCCAAGCCAAGTACCAGGACCAGTTGGACAAGCTCCTGATGCTGACTATCACTGACGTCACCAGCGGTTGCTACATGGACGCCCGCACATCCCACCCCCGAAAAAGCATCAGGATGACGGGCAAGATCGGCAGCGTCAAAGCCAAGCTCGACGGCAAGGGCATGTCGGTGGAGCGCGGCCGACAAAATGTCAAGCAATGCGACGGAAACGAATCACTACCGTCACACCACATCCGCCACCGTGCCTCTGGGCACGGGGTGGGCGCGCTCGTCGTCCTCATCCTCCTCCTCCTCCTCGTCCTCCTCCTCCTCGTCCTCCTCCTCCTCCTCCTGAAGTCCTGAAGTCCTAAGCCTCAGTCCGCAGTCCTGAGGAATGCCTGAGGAACACGGACCCCAAATGCTCAAATCTACCCAAGGCTTCTCGCGTGCCCCCGGAGTTCCAACGTGTCACCCCGCGTGACTGTTCGGGCCAAGGAGGGCCCCAAGACGGGCCAACAGGGCTCAGAGACTGTCCAAGAGGGCCCCGAAACGTCGAATGATCGCTCAAAGACGCCCAGACTGGCCCCAAGACGGCCCCAGAGGCCCACAAGACGTCCCAAGAGGCCTCCAAGAGGCCTCCCAAAAGGCCAAAACCCTTGATGTCCCAAAGCTGTTTTGCAGGTCCCCCGACGCTCCCAGGCGGTCCCAGAGGCCCCGAAAAGCGCCCAAGACGGCCCAATAGGCCTCCCAAATGGCCCCAAAACAACCCAAGAGGACCCCAAGACGGCACAAGAGGAACCCAAGACGGCCCAAGAGGGCCCACAGATGGCCCCGGAAAGGCGCCCAAGAGAGGGAACACGAAGCGAACATCCGAGCCTCTCGCCCCAAGAGGCCCCAGGAGGCCCCCAAGGGGCCCACAAGGGGCTCCGCATGGCCTCCAACGGCCGAAGAGAGGCCCCAAAACGGCCTCCAAAAAGCCTCCCACGAGATCCCAGCGAACCTCCAATAGGCTTCACACCTACAACCCAGGCACGGTAGCGGGATTCGCCGAGGGCCATTCGATAGTCGAGCAACGGTTGCTCCGCCTCGCCGGTTCGTACGGAACAGCATGCCAGACAAAAACACGAGAACATCATCTTTCGGCTGCAGGTGGGAAGGTCTCGGAGCTGTCCAGCTCTTCCTCCGCGTTGGCTCAGCCTCAGCAACTTGGCGTCGACATGCGCGTGGGATGAGACAGCATGGAAGGGCAGCTTTCCTTTCTTCCTCTCGGTCGCGCCACGGAATGTTTCAGACTTCGTCTGATATGTGCGGCTCCTCCTCCTCCTCCTCCTCCTCCTCTTCCTCCTCCTCCCCCCCCTCCTCAGCACTCCCACGACATCGTCGTCATCATCATCATCATCATCATCATCATCATCATCAGCATCAGCATCAGCATCAGCATCATCATCATCATCATCATCATCATCATCATCATCATCAACATCATCATCAGCATCAAAATAATCATCATCATCATCATCATCATCATCATCACCATCATCATCATCATCATCATCATCATCACCACCATCATCATCATCATCATCAGCATCAGCATCAGCATCAGCATCAGCATCAGCATCAGCATCATCATCATCATCATCATCATCATCATCACATCATCATCCCTGTACGTGGCCATGCTGTGTGGCACACGCGCGCACGGTTTCTTCAACCGGCGAGGAGGACGCCCCGTCGCGAACCCCAAGGCGGGACACGCTCAGGCGAATTACCGTACCACCTGGCGTAGCATATGCGTGACCTGGATGGGAGCACTTGCAAGCAAGAAAAAACGGCCGCGAAGGTGAATGCACGTGGAAAAAGGCCGAGGCACACGCACTGCACTGCAAGAGTCGTTGGGGGCGGGCACAGGCTTGAACCCGCTGCATGGGCGCGAGTGCGCGGGGATGCTGGGGGGTACGGCGGGAGAACACCTCCGGTCGATGGCGGCGAGGACGACACGCACACACACACACACACACATACACACACATACGCACATACACACACTGGCCATCGCTCGGACGTCCATTCCCTGTGTTTTTTTTCGGTTTCGTGCGTGGTTTTCTCGCCAAATGATCAAGGATGCTCCTCGATGGTCCTCGCCGACGGAAAAAACACACGTCCGAGCGATGCCAGGCGCAGACACACGCACACACACGCACACACACACACACACGCGCGCGCGCACGCACACACACACACACACACACACACACACACACACACTCACACGCGCACGCACACGCGCGCACACAGCAAACAATTTCCCGCCTGTGACGGCACCGCCGCGAGCGACTGTCGAATGCGCACGAGCTGCCACGCACGTTGCCGCCGGGCGCTGCACAGATGGGAAGCAGCGGAGCACACACGCGCAGGCCCAGCCCCGAAACGTGAGGCCACGGCGCCGCCGATCTGGCCACGGGGCGCGCCGCTGCTGCTCGAACGCCGACGCGGTCGCCGATCCGCGCGCCTCGGTCCGCGCGCCTCGGGCCGCGGTCCACCATGCCGACCAGCCATAACTGGGGGAGCTGTGGTCCTTACCCCCCTGGAGGAACCCATCGCATCGACGATCTCTCGAGAGGGGTGTCGAAATCGGTGGGTCCCCCAGGGGGGTAAGGACCACAGCTCCCCCAGTTGTGGCTGGCCTGCCATGCGAGACCAATTGTTATACACCACCACCGCCCGCAACGGTGATTCACCGCACAAGAGAGTGAGGGCCAGGGTCAGGCCAGACGATGCTGCGACGCCACGGCGGAAAGGAGCGCGGCGCAGCTCGCAGGCGCCGTGGCATGCGGAGTTCCTGAAGCAGAAACAGCACTTCTTGGTGGTGGTGTGACAAAAAAACGCTCCTCTTGGTAACCAGAATTCTATACACCACCACCGCGCGTGCTTTGATGAATTCTGTGTCGGTCCTTGAGAGAGAGGGGGCAGCCCGGTTGCCGTTGGCGGCGGGAGGGGGACTGCGGGCTTTTCACCAGAGCAAAACTGCACCAAATCGCATCGTACATATTTCTCGATCTTGGTGGTGGTAGTCATATACTGTGCTCGGACACCAGCTTGGAGGTGGTCGTGGGGTCCGAGCTGGAGAAGCCCAAAGAGAGCCTGCCAGGGTAAAAGGATGAGTCAGATTCGCTCAGAATCGATCCCCAGAGCCGCCCCAGGCTCCGAATGGCTGAGTTTCGCGAGCCGCGCCCAGCCGTGGCGACGAGGGGGCCCCCTTTTGCTCCCTCCGCTGTGCTGACTGCAGCCATTGCGGGGCCACCTCGGCCCTCCTCGCCCCCGCGCCACACGCCCTGGGACGCCCGCGGGGGCGCAGGGGCCTCGAGCGTGCCCGCGCTCGTGGCGTCCACGATGCGGTCGCAGACGCCCTTGTCCAGGCCGATCTGCTCCTGCAGCTCCTGGGCTGTGGGGGGGGGCGCAGCGAGGAGGAGCCATCCGTCCCCGTGGGGGGGCCGGGGAGGAGGATGAGCCCTCCCTCCATCCCCTGGGGATGAGGATGCTAGGAGGACGAGCCCCCCTCGTGGGGAGGGAGGAGCACAAGCCCTCCATCCCCGTGGGGGGGAGGAGCATGTGCCCTCCATCCCCGTGGGGGGGGGGGGCGGAGGGCTTCATCAAGGAGAAGATGGGAGGTGGCCTCCGCAGGGATCGGGCAACCCGCGCCCTCGCCTGGCCGCTGCGAGGTCGCACTGGGGCAAGCACCGCTCCGCGTGCATCCACACCATCGGAGCAGATCACGGATGCCCGTCCGCGCAGAGCACGGACCGGATGCAGCGCACGACTCCTCGTGCTGCGAGGTTTTCCGCGTAGATGACCTTCTGCTGCTCTTGCCTGCACGAGCGCAAAGACCCGCCAGTGGCTCTGGCACATACGCTGCGCCAAAGTTCCGCCAAAGGCAAAGGCGACCTCCTTCACAGGGGCTCCCAACTTCGCGCCTCGCGCTGCGCGAAGCGCGAATAACTTCGCGCTCTCGCGCCGCTTCCCAGGGGAGAAGAGGAGGACGAGGAGGAGGGGGAGGAGGAATAAGGCCCGCGAAGCGCGAAGCGCGACTGACTTCGCGCCCTCGTGGGAGCCCTTGGACCAGCCAGTGGCTCAGGCACCTACGCTGCGCCGAAGGCCGCCACAAGAGCGACCTCCTTCAGGACCACCTCCCGAAAGGCAGAGCCCTCCCTCCTCCTGCGGGGGGGGGCGGAAGGAGGGAGGAACCTGGCCCTCCCTCCTCCTGCTCCTCCTCCTCCTCCCTCTCCTCCTCCTCAGCCTCCTCCTCCTCCTCCTCCTCCTCCTCCTCCTCCTCCTCCTCGTCTTCCTCCTTCTCCTCCCCCTCCTCCCCCTTCTCCCTCCTTCCCGTGTTCCTTCCCCCTCCTCCTACCCCTCCTCGCTCCTCGCTCCTCCACGTATGACCCGTCCTCCCACCCCCTCCGCTTCTTCCTTCTCCCCTCTTCTCCCTTTCCCACATCCCCCATCGTCTGCATCCTCCTCCTCCTGATGTGCACTTTCTGGTCCTCCTTTCAATCCTGGTCTGGACCAGCAGCGGGCCCTACCACCCGCCTCCGGAGTTTTGTTCTGGGCGGCGGGCAAGCGGCCAGGGCTTGGGCAAATACATGCAGCTGGGCCAAAGAGGCTTGACTCCGCCTCCCTCGTCCGTCCTCCCTTTCCTCCTTCCGACGACCACGGGAACGAGGACAAGGACGAACACGACCACACGACGACGACGACCACGACCACGACCACGCCGACGCCGACGACCACGACAACGACGACGACCACGACCACGACCACGCCGACGCCGACGACACCGACGCCGACGCCGACAACGACGCCGACGCCGACGCCGACGACGACGGCAAGCACGACGACGACGATGACGACGATGACGACGGCGACGGCGACGGTGACGACGGAGACGCCGACGCCGACGCCGACGCCGACGCCGACGACGACGCCGACGACGACGGCGAGCACGACGGCGACAATGACGACGACGACGCCGACGACGACGACGACGACGGCGACGACGGCGACGGTCAAGGCGACGGCGACGGCGGTAGCGGCGGCGGCGGCGGCCGCGCCAAACCTGGCGGGGCCCGGCGCGCTCCTTTTTCACGGCGTCGGCGCCGATCTTGTCCTTGGCGGCCGGTGGTGTTGGGGTGGGAGGCCCCTTCGCGTCGCGGTGCCGGTGGGAACACTACTGGCATCATGCTTGGCGCCGTGGTCTCGGCGGTAGCTGTTCTCTGGCCCTATGACCCGGGTGCGCCGAAGAGGAACAAGGAAAGGCGACACCAACACCACCAGGGCGAGGAGATGCGAGGAGGCAAGGAGGGTCTCCCTGGTGGTGTGGCCCCCCCTCTCGCTCCAGACATCCCCAGCCTCCTCGCTGAAGGCATCGTGGACCTCCTCGCTGGAGGTGAGCCCCTTTGTGGTGTTGGTGTCGCTTCTCCTCTCTCCGACCGAAGAGGAGGTGGCAGGAAGAGCGGGGTCAGCCCTGGACCAGTACTGGATCCCTTTTGGGCGCCTCGTGGACCACCCTCCTAGAAGCCATTCGGGAACGGTGAACGAAGCTAACATCGCTGACAAAACGTCCTACATGTTTCTACGTAGTTTTCGCACACACGGCTGTTCGGTCCTGCGGTCCCCAAGATTGCCCCAAGACGGCCCCCGAGGCCCCCGAGGGGTCCAAGAGGCCCACAAGACGGCCCCAAGAGGGGTCCAAGAGGGGGAGCACGAACTGACATGTCAAAGACAGGCGGCCAGGTTGAGCAGGCTGGCTGCCGAATCTTAAGCATGAACCACGAGGAATCCTCGAGCGATAGCGCGGATTCCCGAACGTCGGGAAACAACTTTTCATTGAAAAAACACCTGGTGCCCCGGAGGGGGGGATCAGCACTTATTACTCTTCAGTAGTGAGGACTCAACAACAATAGCAGCTCCCGTCTAACATCCCCTCACAATATATTCCCAAATCGCGCTCGCGCGTAGGACTTCCTCCCAATGTATGCGGACGCCGCGCCCTCGACTCTCAGGAATCACGCTCCCGCTGTGAATTTCTCACGCTTTACTGGGGCATCGCGCCATCGCTCAAGGCTTCCTCGCGATTCATGCAGAACGCACGTTTCAGCATCCCGCCTGCTCGACCTGGCCGCCTGGGCCCGCTTTCCCGCCGAGGGTCTGCCCACCCGATCTGCCCATGTGGTTCAAAACCTAACCACCCTCCTTAAATACTTCCGAACTCCACCCTTTTCCTTCCCCCCTCCATCTTTCCCCCCCCCTCTCTCCTGTTTGACGGGCTGCACCAATCTCCTGCGGCAGGTAAGGATATGCCCACAAGGGGGCACGATCGAAGACGAATCGGGCGGGTATCGAGGGTTTGGGATTTCACGCGGGCGGATAAGAGCGAACAACCTTACCATTACTATTGGTGATGTTGTTGCTGCCGTTGTTGCTGTTGAGTCTAATAACACTGAACACTTTTTATTGTTGGACACCGTGAATGTTTTTTCGCCTTCTCGCCCAGTCGCTGGCTGCATTCCCTTCAGAGTCAGGTTCGCGCTCAAGCGTTTCGGGGTTCCGCCAAAACCGGCCCCCAAACAACAACAACAACAACAACAACAACAACAACAACAACAACAACAACAACAACAACAACAACAACAACAGCAGCAGCAGCAGCAGCAGCAACAACAACAACAACAACAAGGTTAAGGCCGGCATGGCCCCCCCGGGGTGCGGGAGCGGATCCGCCGGTTCCACCACCGTGGAGAAGGCCGGCACTGCCCCCCCGGTCAGTCCGAAGGGGGGGGGGGGGCGAACAACACAACACAACATCCTAGGGCATCCTTAGGGAATCCTTAGGGAATCCCTAGGGAATCCTAGGGAATCCTTAGGGAATCCTAGGGAATCCTTAGGGAATCCTTAGGGAATCCTTAGGGAATCCTTAGGGAATCCTTAAAAATCCTTTAAAATCCGTAGGGGGTCCTGAGGGAATCCTTCAGAATCCCGAGGGACTCCTGGAGGAATCCTTAGGGAATCCTTCAGAATCCCTAAGGACTCCTGAGGGAATCCTTCAGAATCCCTAGGGGCTCCTTAGGGAATCCTTAAGCATCCCTTGGGCATCCATCAAGAATCCTTAAGAATCCATGCGAAGTCCTCCGGGAATCCTCCTGAGGAGGAAGAGGGCAAGGAGGAAGGGGAGGAGGATGATGACGAGGGCGAGGAGGATGGGGGGGGGAGGGGGCAGAGGAGGACGGAGGAGAAGGAGGACGAGGAGGACGGGGAGGAGGAGGGGGACGAAGATGATGAGGAGGAGAGGGAGGAAGAAGAGGGGGGGAAGGAGGAGGACACACGCAAACCCCCTATAGGGTTGCGTTGTGTTGTGTTGTGTTGTTCCCCCCCCCCCCCCCCTCCCACCTCACCCCCTGGGGGGGCTGCCCCGCCTGTATCAACAACAACACCAACCAACCAACCACAACAACAACAACAACAAACAACAACACCACAACAACAACAACACCACCACCCACAACACAACAACCACAACCACAACCACAACAACAACAACACCAACACCAACACCAACAACAACAACAACAACCACAACAACACAACAACAACCAGCAACAGCAAATACAACAACAACAACAACCACCACACCAACACCACCAACAACAACAACAACAACAACAACAACAACAATTACTAGCACGTGGGGACACTCCGTTCTCACCAGTGCCAGGGTTTTCATAGGAGGCGGGCAATACCCCCACTTTGTGGGGGGGCCGGTTCAAGCTCTACCAAATTTCCAAACGACTCTTCGCCACCACCCACACCCAGCTTCCCGCCCTATGACGTTCGGACACTTCACTTCGTGGCATGCGGACGACCGTGGCTACTATTCAGGGCCCCGCGGCCGACGACGACGGCGTGCGCGCGCGAAGAAAAAACGAATGTGTCCCGCATGGTATTATTTGACAGGGATGATGGCCCTGGCAGGTGCGCAACCGTTGTTGCAGAAGTTCGAAAAAGTTGCTCGCAAAAGCCCGTTTGACAGAAATGATTAAAAAGTGTTGGGTTTCCTACGAATCCGCAAGAGCGCGCGGGATGAAATGTTGACAATTTTTTTTTGAAAAACCATTGGTTTTTTGATGTTTTTATGTTAAAATCGCTACGAAAACTAAGGTTTTGGAAGGATTTCGTCTTGCGCGCGCGAATGTCCACTTTACCTTATTTTTTGCAAGGGATTCTTGAAGTTTGGTTATGTTAGAACAAGAAATGTCCACTTTAGCTTATTTTTTGCAAGGGAAAACGATCGTAACAAAACAACCGGATCTGGACCACATCGTTTTGCCTGAGACTTCCTCACGAAAATGATGAAAATGTGGCTGCGGCCTAGGCGCGGCGGGGGGGCGTGCACCAGGGGCCCCAACAATAATTATTCTTTAGAAGTAATAATCTTCAACAACAACAACAACAACAACAACAACAACAACAACAACAACAGCAACACAACAACAGCAGCAAAACAACAACAACACAGCAACAACAACAACAAACAACAACAAAACAACAACAACAAACAGCAACAGCACCAACAAACAACAACAACAACAATCATTTTACCGAACGCTCCGTTCTCACCAGTGCCAGGGTTTTCATAGGAGGCGGGCAATACCCCCACTTTGTGGGGGGGCCGGTTCAAGCTCTACCAAATTTCCAAACGACTCTTCGCCACCACCCACACCCAGCTTCCCGCCCTATGACGTTCGGACACTTCACTTCGTGGCATGCGGACGACCGTGGCTACTACACTGGCGCATGGTTTCAATGACTTCTTGTGGTAACATCTTGTGGAAACTAGCTTAGTATACGACGACGACGATTTGAAGGGCCTACGGTGCGAAAAATGATTTTATGTTGCGCGGTGCTAAAATTCCTACGAAACCCAATGGTTTTTGAAGATTTCGGCGTGCGCACGGAAAGAAAAAACGAATGTGTCCCGCATGGTATTATTTGACAGGGATGATGGCCCTGGCAGGTGCGCAACCGTTGTTGGAGAAGTTCGAAGCACGTGAAGAAGTTGATCGCAAAAGCCCGTTTGACAGAAATGTTTAAAAAAGTTGGGTTTCCTGCAAATCCGCAAGAGCGCGCGGGATGAAATTGTGACACTTTTTTTTTAAAAAAAAAAACCATTGGTTTTTTGATGTTTTTATGTTGAAATCGCTACGAACACTAAGGTTTTGGAAGGATTTCGTCTTGCGCGCGCGAATGTCCACTTTACCTTATTTTTTGCAAGGGATTCTTGAAGTTTGGTTATTTAGAACAAGAAATTTCATTTTATAGTGTTTTTTGCAAGGGACAGCGGGGGGGAACAAAACAACCGGATCTTGATGACATCGTATTACCTGAGGCTTCCTCACGAAAATGATGAAAATGTAGCTGCGGCCTAGGCGCGGCGAGGGGGTCGCGCACCAGGGGTCCCAACAATAATTATTCTTTAGAATAAATAATGTTCAACAACAACAACAACAGCAACGACAACAACGCTCCGGCTCGATACGTCCTCTTGTTTCACTCTTGGCCGGGGCTCTTGCTCGCCCCCCAAAGCCGCCCTCCAGAGAAAACCGTCGCTCCCGCCTGATATGTCCCTGCTTTTTTTTACTTATGGGCAGGCGCTCCCGCTCCAGGACCCCCCGCAGACAATGACGCTCCCTACTTCCCCCTCTTCTACTCAAGTCGGGGATGGACAGACCCCCCTTTAGCAAAACGTGGTTTAGTGAAAGCGACCTGAGGCCCAAACCTGGCGGGCCCAAGCCTGGAAAATAACGGCCACGGCGCCCTCTCGCAAACCGAAAACGGACAATTCACGAATCGTCGTGTCGCTGTTGGGGGTTCTGTCCACCCCCGATCAAGGACTCCCAAGATGCCCTGAAGTTTTCCTAATACATGCCGAATTTCAATTCCTGAATATGTTTAAACTGCTGGACGCCCTGAATCCGCCCCTGCCTGGCCCGCCGAGCCCTGCCCTCCGGGGCCGGCTCGAGGGGGCCGCTGCGGAGCCGCCCGGGCGCGCCCTGGCCCCAACTTCCTTTTTCGGAGGGCAGGGTGCCCTCCGAAAGGAAGGCTGCCCTCGTCGTCGGCGGCGGCGTCGTCTGCGTCGTCGTCGTCTCTCCCCCCTGTTCCGTCTCTCTCGTCGTGGTCGTCGTCCTCCGCCTCCTCCTCCCCCTCCTCCCACCCCTCGTCTTCCGTCCTTCCTCCTCCTCCTCCTCCTCCTCCTCCTCCTCCTCCTCCTCCTCCTTCTCGTGTTCCCTCCTCATGTTCCTCCTTCCTGATCCTCCTCCTCCCCCTCCTACTCCTTCCCCCTTTCCCCATTATCCTCCCCCCGTCCCCCCTCCCCCTCCTCCTCCCTCCCCTCCTCCTCCCCTCCTCCTCCTCCTCCTCCTCCTCCTCCTCCTCCTCCTCCTCCTCCTCCTCCTCCTCCTCCTCCTCCTCCTCCTCCCCCTCCTCCCTCCTCCTCCTCCTCTCTCCTCCTCCTCTCCTCCTCCTCCTCCCCTCCTCCTCCTCCTCCTCCTCCTCCTCCTCCTCCTCCTCCTCCTCCTCCTCCCTCCTCCTCCCCTCCTCCTCCTCCCCTCTTCCCCTGCTCCTTTTCCTTTTCCTCCCCTCCCCCTCCCCCTCCTCCTCCCCTCTCCTCCTCCTCCTCCTCCTCCTCCTCCTCCTCCTCCTCCTCCTCCTCCTCCTCCTCCTCCTCCTCCTCCTCCTCCTCCTCCTCCTCCTCCTCCTCCTCCTCCTGCTCCTCATCCCCCTCCGATCCAGGCGTTCTGGGCTCCTTCACGGAGCCCAAAAAGCCACTCCGATATAGGCTTTTTTCCCCAACAAAGCCTCGAGACATTTTTCAAGAGGCCCAGAAGCCCTGTAGCTCAGCTGTGAGGCGTTCCCCAGCGGTCCTCAGATTTTCCACAGAGGCTCCGAAGCGCTGTTCACAGAGGCTCCAGGGATCTCCAAGGGGCTCCAAAGTCTCTCCAAGCGGCTTCGCGGCCTTTCCCAAAGGTTGTGCCCCCCCCCCCCCGAAGGTCTCAAGCCACTCAGGCGTGGTGATACTTAGAAGCAAGGCATGGGGAGGGTGATTTCGAAAGCGATGTGCCATCCGTGCTGGAGATGTTGAAGTGCCTCGGGGGATGTGTTGTCAAGACCTCCTCGGGGGGGAGATCTGGGCAAGGGAATATCGGTGAGATCACTCGGGGAAAATGGTTGTTGTTGGTGTTGCTGGTGGTGTTGACGTGTTGTCGTTCTTTGCTGTTTGTTGTTTGTTGTCGTCGTCCCGCCCGCGACCCGGCCCGCCACCCGCGACCCATCCCGCGACCCATCCGCGACCCACCCGCGACGCACCCGCGACCCACCCCGCGACCCGTCCGCGACCCACCCGCGACCCACCCGCGACCAACCCCGCGAGCCGCCCGCGACCCGCAGGGGCCTCCCGAAACCCCAGCGAGACCACGGGTCAGAACGACGTGCGCCGACAACGGAGGGCAGGCCACAGGCCCCCCCGCTGTCCGCACCACTGCTGCCCCTCCTCGCCCTGCTGTCCTCCCCCCTCCTCCTCCAGGCCGTGCTCCAGCTGCTCCCCTCCCCTCCGACGCCCCGGGCCTGCTTGTCTATGATCACGCAGGTGGGTGCAAACTTGTCGTCCGGCACCCCGGCGTTCTTCAGCACCGCGCCCAGCACCTGCCGTCGACCAGAGGAGCAAAAAACAAAGGCGCGAACGCGAGGCGAACGTGTTATCCATGCGGTGCTTGTGAATGAATCACTAAGGGGGCCACATGCGAACCCTACCCCTACCCCCCCCGATTTCTGAGGGGGAGGGTGGGGTTCACTTCGCTCGGGAGCTCCTGTGCGAAGTGAACCCCACCCTCCCCCTCAGAAATCGTGGGGGGTAGAGGTAGGGTTCGCATGTGGCCCCCTAATCAGGGCCGCGCGGATTTCTCGTCTCGGCGCTGGGCCCTCTGGCGGCGTACCTAGTGCGCTCCCCGCGCATGGGGCGCGGATGTGAGGAGGGGGGCCTAGCGCCGATTCGGGAAGCCCGCGGTGGCGTCCGAAAACTAATGGTCCTATAGTCTGCTGGCACGGCTGGTGTCAGCCGACGTGCAGGTCAGCAGAAGAGGAACTCCGCAGCAAGAGGAGGAGCAGGAGGAGGAAGAGGAGCACGAGGAATAGGGAACTCACAAAGGAAGCATGCGCCCAACCACGTACGTGAATACGGCCCCCCGTCCCAGATACCAAACTCATGATACGAACGCTCGCGCAATGCGTGCCTTCGATGCCAGCGTGGATTCATGTACGTGTGCGTGCTTCTTTCGCTTCTGAAGAAGGAGGAGGAGGAGCAGGAGGGGGAGGAGGAGTAGAAGGAGGAGCAAGAGGAGGAGGAGGAGGAGGAGGAGGAGGAGGAGGAGGGGAGGAGGAGGAGGTAAGCGGCGCGCGGCGACCAGGCCCGCGGCGCGCAAGCAGGTCGACGGCCATAGGAGATGAGAAGGCAAGGGCCCTCCACCCCGCCCCCTGTAACATTCCGCCCTGTCCTACACCACTCCTCCTCGCACTCACCCGCTCACTCACTCCCCTTCCTCTCGCCCTCCGACCTCCTCGCCCTCCGTTCCTGCTCCTACCGCCCTCCTCCTCCTTTTCCTCCTCCGCCTCCCTCCTCCTCGTTCTCCTCTCCTCTCAGCCTCCTCCTCCCCCTCCTTCTCCCCCTCCCTCCTCCTCCTCCTCCTCCTCCTCCTCCCTCCTCCTTCCTTCCCGCCCCCTCCGTCTCCTGCTCCTCCTCCTCCTCCTCCTCCTCCTCATCCTTCGCCTCCTCTTCTTGTTCTTCTCATTACCCTGAGTATCATGAATATGATCAGTACTAGTTGCATTGATACCCTGTCTTATTTAGTATGGTTAGTCTTCTTGTTATGATTCGTCTGATCCTTGGTAGTCTTTTTCGCATTCGTAGTATTATTACGATTCCTCCTCCTCCTCCTCCTTTCAATCCTCCTCCTCCTCCCCCTCCTCCTCCTCCTCCTCCTCCTTCTCCTCTTCCTCCTCCCCCTCCAACCCCGTGTTGTTTCGCCTCCTATTCTGCTGCAGGCCTCCTGTGTAGGGCTGGCTGGACAACACTGGGCCCCAGGATGTCCACAGAAGTGCTCGCAGGTCCCTTGAAGCCCCCAGAGATCCCAGAAAGGCCAAATACGTCCTGAGACCTGGATCCTCAATCCTCTAACCACCATGTTCGCAATGCTTGCTCCTGCTCATCAAGCTGGTTCCCCTCCCCCTGAAACTCGATCTGCCACCACCTCCCGCGTCGTGGCTTTGAGGGGCAACGTTAGGGGGAAGAGAGCTCAGGGGGAAACCGTCTAGGTTGAATCGACGATACACAGCCGATAGATCGGCGATTGGCCTCCGATAGCTCTTAAAACGTCAAGACACACAAGCAACCGCCGACGCGTGTTACTGGATGCATGGGCTTGCGTGCGGGCGGGCGTGGGCGTCTCGAACTCGGCCCCGGACATGTCCCAAACGCGATCCTGACCAGTCTGACGCTGCTCGGCTGTGTCCAGCCGGTGCCAGGAGGGGCCAACAGCAACGAACGACAGCTGGCACTCCCCTCTGTCGCCCTGTCAGTGCCGCAAAGCGACCCGGGGGCGCCTTCCGCGAGTTCACCTTCAGGCCCACGTCTGCGGACGTGATGCCTGGCTGAAGGGACCAGAGAGCGGAAGAGGCCATCCTATTCCGAATCGAGTTGTTTTAACAACAGACCTCGGGTACTCGTCCCAACCAACGTGGAGGCGCCGACAGGGAGCACAGCGCCGAAAATCATGTTTCCGCGCGGACCTCCGAAAAACTGTGCTCCTCGAGTCATGGCACGACCACTACCTTAACCAAAGCGTTTTTGGCACGGCCTCTGCCTTGACCGAAGCGTGTTCCTTGAATCTTCTGGGCCCCGGGAGTGCTGATCTGGATCCCACCGGACTGCTCCCGGAAGCTCCACGGGGTCCCTCACCAACTCACCCAGGAGGACGGAGGAAGGGAGAGGAGACGGTGGTCCCGAAGGGCTTGACGGCTCTTCGTCCATCGATGTGTGGGGATCAGGACGGATAAAGCAAGGTGAGACCAGATAAATCGGACAGAACCATGTAAATCTGGATTGAAAACCAAAACAAAAAATCCAAATCTCAACAGGAACTCGGAGCAAACCGCGACAGCCCCATCGCGAGTCGAGGGACGGCAGAAGTCGTGAAGCCCTGAAAGAAGTGGACGCTGAAAAAGGGGAGGATGAGGAACAGGAGGAAGAGGAGGAGGAGGAGGAGGAGGAGGAGAAAGGAGGAGGAGGAGGAAGGAGATGAGGGGGGGGGAGGAGGAAGATGGAGGAGGAGGAGGAAAAGGAGGAGGAGGAAGAGAAGGGAGGAGGAGGAGATGGAGGAGGAGATTGAGATTTGGGGGGAGAGGAAGAGGATGAGGAGAGGGAGGGCAAGGACGAGACCAGGAGAGAAGGACGAATGGAGGAGGAGGAGGAAGGGAGGAGTCTGAGTGAGGCGGCGGAGGATGAGGAGGAGAGGAGAGGAGTATGAGGTAGGGAGGAGGAGATGAGGGGGGGAAGGACTAGGACGAGGAGATGGAGGAGAGGTGGGATGAAGAGGAGTGAATGGGTTGCTGAGATGAGGATACAGGACCCCGTAGAGGAAGAGGGCTTTTTTGGGAGTGTCTATTATGTAGGCGATGGAGGGGAGGTGTAGTGTCAGTGGCTGTGGACGTTGGCTGCGTATTCTTCCGTCAGACTGGTGCTGAGTAGGAGGAGGAGTAGGAGGAGGAGATGGATGATGCCCGCGGGGTAAGGCGACCGTGTTCATCCACGACCACCCCCGCGCGCGCCCCCGCGCGCGCCCTCGCCTCGGCGCGGTCACGCGCCCGAGGCCGTCTGGCAGGCCTCACCTCGCGCCGCCCGCAGCAGCCTCGCCACCTTGGCGGCCAGGCCAGGCGAGCAGCTTCGCTCTCGCGCGCGGCGCCATGGCCTCGGCCAGCCGCCGCCGCCGCCCGCAGCCCCTGCTTCGCTTCGAGCAGCAAGGTCACCTGCAGGCGGCTGGCTCTCCCCCTGCATCCTGGCCCCCTTGGCCTCGATGTCGCCGCCCGCAGCCCCTGCTTCGCATCGAGCAGCAGGGCCACCTGCAGGCGGCTGGTTCTCCTCCTGCAGCCTGGCTACCTTGGCCTCGCGCTGCGGCGACGGCGCAGAGCTGCACGCGCGCCTGCCGCGCCGCCGGGGCGCACCTCCTCCCTTCCCGCCAGCAGGCGGCTCCTCCAGCGTGGTCACCAGCAGCACGTCCACGCCGACCTCCTCAGGGCCGTCCGCCAGCGGCTTGCTCTCACGTCCTGGAGTCCCTGCGGCGGCCAGCCTCGGCGAGCTGCCTCCTCCTCCACAGGCAGGCGGCTCTGCAGGCGTGGTCTCCTGCACGCCCGCTCCTGCAGCCGCGGTGCTGGCCGCCGTCGACTGGTCTGCCCGCCCGCCAGTCGCCTCCACGTCCAGCAGCTCCCCACTGAGGTCGTCGAGGCGCGCGGTGACGACTGGCACCACCCTCGCCGTGCGTGGCGCGAGCCCCTGCTGCAGTTTGGCCACCACAGCACTGCCTGACGCGGAAAGCGGCAACTTGCACTCACCGCTGAAACCGCATGCCCTGGCGGCGCCCGCGATCCCGCAGAGGCGGCAGGCGACCAGCGACATCCTGCGCTTCAGCTGCTCGTCCACGGTGGGGCGGATGACCACCAGGTCGTGGGCGGTGAGCCCCTGCTGCCTCGGCCTCCTGTTGGCCTTCGCCGCGTCCGCCACAATGGAGCCTGGGCAGTCGCCAACTCTCTCCTCCCACCTGCAGACCTCGCACCACCTGGGCTGTCCAGGCTGCCCGCGCCAGGTGCAGGCCACCTGCGCGGCTGCCGTGCGCCTCTCGGGAAGAGCCCGCTGCTGCTTCACCTTGCCATGCGTGGTGTCGCTGCCGTCAACCCAGGCGCCCACCGCCGAGCACCACAAGGCGACCCTGTCGACGAGGCCTCGGCTATGAGCAAGCTGCAGGCGCTCACGGCCAGGCAGGCGCCCCGCGGCGGCAGCCTCCTTGGCCGCGCGGTCGGCCAGACGATTGCCGTACCAGTCACGGTGCGGCACCCTCCCAACCACCACCTGATGCCTCGTGCTGTGGCTGGGCACCCACCTCAGGTACACCTCGCTGCCCAGTCCTCCGCGTTCATCCAGCAGCGCCCAAGCTTGCCTCCACAGGTGCGCCCAGGAATGACCGCTGGCCGTCGTGCGCATACGCCCCACCTGGTAGAAGCCGTCGAACGCGCACTTCGAGTCCACAACCAGCACTGTGTCACCATGACCGCACCTCCAAGCCATGATCACCGCCGTGAGCTCGCCGCCGTTGATGTCGACGCACGGGCCGACCATCTGGCCAGCGATCGACGCCCTGTACACGTCCTCTCCCTCCATCAGCGCGACCGCACTCCAGCCCGCCGACGCGAACTCGCCGTAGTCCGCCTCGAACACCGAGCCGTCCAGGAAGAGCTCACCAGCTGGCAGAACACCTCCCTCATGGTCGCCCCTCCAGCAGATCAGGTCGCTGGCCTGAGGCTTGCGCAGCCCCCTCGGCACTGGCCACAGGCACCTCTCCAGCAGCAGCTGGACCCCAAGCTCTTGCAATATCCTCCTGAGGTCCGCCAGGTCTGGGGGGGGGGCAGCACCTCTCGCCAGCTTGCGCAGTCGCAGTGCCTGTGCATCAGGGTGCCCTCCAACCCGCACCTAAGGCACTCCGCGCTGCTCGCCAGCCCGTTCTCCGCCTTACGTGCCTGCGTCCACTGCCCGCTGACGATTAGGGACCGCAGGTATGCCATCTCGCGCTGCGTGAGCCGAACCTTGACCTTGCCAGCACCTCCCCCCAGCAGACCCTCAGGGTGGAGCACTCTACCTGTGGTGGTCAGCCTCACCAGCGGATCGAGCTCGCCACCTCCTGCCAGGGGGCCACACCCTGGGTCCTTGCTGACCTGCCTCCACTGCCACCTCTGCACTCCTCGCATGACCAGCTTGCGCACGACCCACGGCGCCACGTCGAACGGCACCCAACTGTTGGCCGCTGCCACCTCCCAACCGATCCTCCGCAGCGACATCGCCGTCGCCGCGCACGGCCCCTGAACGTGAGCCGAGGTGGTGGCCCTCGTCCTGCAGGCAGCGGACCACCATGCGGAGAGGCACCCAATTCTCCCACACCGCCCGCAACAGCGTCATCACGGGCATACAGGTCGCGTCGATGATCGGGCCGAGCCCAGGCTGAAGCAGCAGCCCCTGCGACCTACTCTTGCTCGCCGTGGTGTTGGAAACCGCCACGAACGTCATCGTCCTGGCGCGGTCCAGCTCGCCCATCGCGCACCCCGTGATGGCCGTGCCGTAGCCGATGCTACGGTGCAACCCCGTCTTCACCACCCTGCGCACCGCACGCCCCAGCCGCTTGCCCCCGCTGAAGTCGACCCCAAGGTTGCGCTCCTGCCGTGCCGCCAGCACCCCCAGCGGCTTGCGCAGCCTCTTTCCCAGCTCCTGCCTCGCCTCAGGGAAGTTGGCGAGCGTCCTGGACTACTTGACCGCGACCGCCAGGTCCACCTCGCCGAGCAGGACCTTGAGATGCCTGGCCGCTGTCGTGATGTCCCCGACGACGCGCCGCAGGCCCCCCACCCTCCTGATGATGACGTCATCCACGACCACCGAGAGGGCCACCGTGGGCACAAGCGCCTGCAGCCTATCCAGCGGCTCAAGCAGCAACATCTTGAGCATGAACGTTGCCAGCCCATCCCCTGGCAACACAGCCTGATCCGTGTAGATGGCGCCGCTGACCGCCTCGTCGCGCGCCAGCCACCTGGCCGACCTGCACCGGCTGATCTGCAGCTTGAGCTGCCACAAGGGAAACCCCGTCTTCCTCGCAGCGCGAATGAGGTGCCCGTGCTGTGCCTGTTCGTACGCTTTGAGCAAGTCCAGGAGCACCAGCGCGGCGACCCAGCTGGAGGCGTCGCCTGCCTCGCGTCCTCTGGCCGTGGCCCACTCGCACTCCACCGCCTGCTGCCAGACCGCCCTCTCATAACCCTTCCCTCTGGACGCCCAGAAGAAGGGCCGATCGTTCTTGCGCTCCCACTCGACCGCCGCGGGCCTGCGCAGCCTCGTCTGAATCCTCGCGAGCACGTGGACGATGGCCACCGGCCTCACTCCTCCTAACCTCTTGGCCAGGAACACGATCTTGTTGTTAAGCTGCGGCCGCTCCGCCGCACGCTCCACCGCCATCGCGACGTCGATGAGCGTCTCGAGGTCCTCGCCGCTCAGCTCCAGGAGCTGCCGCGGCTTGACCGCCTCGAAGCCCGCCGCGATGCCCATCCTGAACGTGCGCAGCCCCGCCTTCATCTCCTCCACTGAAGGCCTGCCAGGCCTCACGCCCAGGTCGTCTGGCCACACCAGATCTTCATGGGCGCACTGCACCCGCCAGAGCTTGCCCCATTCCTGCTCGAGGGCGCCCAGCTCCTGGCAGAGGCTGCGGGGGCCTGCCGAGGAACTACAGTCGCTGCCTTGCCATCCCACAGCCACCCTCGTGACCGCATGCAGCCCTCCTGCCCCTCCCTTCAGCTGCCTGTCGGCCCACTCGTCGAACTGCCTGCCGCGCTCGTCGATGTC